ATATTCACCATAGAAACCCTTTTAGTAGTAGTAGAGTCAAAATCTAATTCAAATGTTTCAAATTGGCGGTCGAATCATAGAAAACCCTCACAGCCGTCAAAGAATGAGATATTGTAAATTGGGTGCCATCTTAACTACAATTTTCTGCAGTTGTATAAATAGAACGTAACAATAAAAAGATTTCTAAACTTTTGTTAAACTCAGCGCAATGCTGGTCCAGCACGTGAATACCAGATGGCGTGACGTTTTATTGCAAATAACGTCTTTATTATTCTTGGCAGTTGTACCGAAGAAAAATTTTCAATGTCAACATTTGGAATTTTGATTCGCAAGCAAATACAGTCAACCTCCCCTACAGTCACCTCCTATATAGTCACACCTCCTATACAGTCACAGGCTAGTCATTTTCATAGTGATGTACCTCCTTTACAGTCACAATCATATTATTATTATAGTCACAGTCACCCGATTTTGAATCCCCGTTACTATTGCACAATATGAAAAATTCCGCCTTTTGTAGTCACCAAATACTTGTGTTACATTCAAGACCAGTAACGCCTTTCTTTAAATTTTAAATGCACGTGTTATTAATCATATCATGCTTTGTAATAATAAATATTTGGGTATAACATAATCAGTTTATAACGTCATTCGCATTATTAGTACAATAGAAAATTGTTGTATTTATTGATTTAAATATCACTGCAAGTCAAGTCGGAATAAAAATAATTTCAAAAAATGTCAACTAAAACACGATCTCGACTGAGTATAGAAAATAAACGTGAAATCTGTGAATATGCTAGGCGACATCCGAATGTGAAGCATAGCGATATGGCAAATTATGTAGGCATAGATGTTAGTGATTTGCGTGTTTTCCGCAAGTATATAAATTTACTTAATCTCAAAGAATTCCAATCAAAGCGTCAACAAAGTATTGATGCTTATTTTAGATACCAATATTAATGTCGTTGATTTTTTAAATAATCATAAAATAATAGAATTATAATAATATAGGTCACATGACTAATGTAAGTCTCCCTCCTATACAGTCACCCCCTCATACAGTCCGGTCCCGACTGTGTGACTATAGGGGAGGTTGACTGTAGTCCTTTTATATTAACGTACGGCAGATTTAGGGTAGAAGCCATATTTTAATGCTTTTCTGTATACAAGTTGTTATTGCTTGTATTGCTTCATATACATTTTGACTATTCGTTAGTTGAATCTCTGAACACAGAACTTTCTGCAGCGAATAATTATGATTGGGTTTACGCTAAAGTAAGTTGTTGTTTTTTAACTACGATGTCGGACGTGATAATTTGTTATGACATACCAATGCCATGATGCATTTTTTTCGAATTGTCTCTTCAAGAACTCTTACGCAAGCAAGAGAAAGATGTTAAAATAAGAAACAACAGCTAAGCCATTCCCATTCACTTATGCTGACAGAATTTATTACATTCACCCGTTTCAATGCGTGATTCTGTGATGATTTTTCGGTGACTATACAAAATCTGATGAGTTTGTGTGGCGTGAGCAAAAGTTGTTATTTAGCTGAGTGGCTGCGAATGCAAGTATTTTTTCTTACTTGCCTCGGCCCCAACACTTTATAATACAATAAAACCATCTTACTATGACTACTCTACCTTATGTACACACTACTCTATGTCCTCAACGCCCAAGTCACAAAATATTACCTCTTCCAACAGCATATATTTTTTCTTTCAGTAGTCCATCGAGGTAAGAATGCAAAGACGGAAGAGTGGGAAACAACGTTGACCGCTCAGTCTTCGTAACTTTGTAGCACATATTGCTCACTTGTATTGGGAAAATACTAAAGAACAAATGTCCTAACTCGCGTTTCAAAAATAAATCAACCAGTGGTCAACTTTTCTAGGAAGGTTTGCACGTCAAGTATTAAATACGTTGGGTAAGCGCGGTTTATATAATACAAGTGATACGTCCCAACAATATGTCTCAATGTTATTGGCTAAAGGAATACCCTCAATGTTATCGTTTTGAAAACAAAGACGAGTGACGTACTATGTACAGATCCTGTAAAGTACAGTCGTTATGTTATCGTTTTGATGTCTCTTATTTATTACCATAATAACGTCTTGTTACTACCAGAACGTCATTATACCATTAACATATAACAGCGATGCAGTGTTAGTAAGGACATATTAATGTCTCAACAGTAAATCTTTTTACTTATAACTCGGATATACAGGGGAATGACAAAGTAATGCACACTTTTGTATTTAAAATATTGGAAAAGTTTTTTATTCAACCTCACCCCAAAATTTATTTACTTAAAGTTAACATTAATATTTAGTATTTTTCTTCATTTGCAATAATCACAACTTAAATTTTGTTGAGCATAAATAATATCGAACTACGGTATACTTTTTACAAAAGCGCATCTTCTATATTTTTCGGAGGTTTATAGTAGTAGGCTCCGGAAACCCGCTGTAATTGTTGTATGTTGATTTTTTATAATTTTTGCGATTGTTCTGTTATTAGCTAGCTAGTTTTTTATCGAAATTATGAGAAATAAGCTTTAAACGAGACTAATTTATGCGCCAAAGCAGAAAATTGGTTGCCTTTTTTTTTCAATTAATCATTTTGCTCATAACGACATGCTATATTGAATAAACATTGATATTTCATTTAGACAATCGATACCGTAAGTGGTCCAAAAGATAGTTTTTTGTACGTATAAAATTTCTTCTAATGTCGTAAAAATAAAAGTGTGCAATACTTTTGTCAACTCCATGTAGTATATCTTTGAAACAAGTCATGACACCCTTATGACAGTCACAATACAATATTACTGTGACAAAGATACAGTATAGCCGTGAAATCAGGAAAATGTTATGACTTTCAGCTATCGATAAAACTTTGCAGCGTCAAAGAAAATTAGCTTCAACAGAACCGTGCACAAATAAATAGATAATACATACTGGAATCATCCCGAATGGTTTATAAAAGTAGTAACGTTCAAACTGATTCTTTATATTGAAAATTTTTTCATAGATTGCAAAATCGGCCAAACCGCAAAACCTTCCAGAACTTTTTTTAAAGAATTAACCTTTGCCCGGGTCTTTTTTCCCAACTTCTCTCTTGCTCGCTTAAGTTCTCTGACAGCATGCATACCTATCGTCAAATTTATAATTAGTTTCGTAATTTCCCCATTTCAGCGTATATAAGACAAACAAATGACTATTCTTATCGTATGTTCATATAACCATTCTTGCATTAGAATTCTCAATAGATAAGAAGACCGTTTATCTCTGAAATACATTAAATTAGGTTTCCCACTCTCCAGGGCGTAAACTTGTAGTCTGTTGCAGTATTCAGTTCATCAGCATCAGTACATTTAGAATCGTGTAAATAACCATTTATATGCTATGGGTTGAATTTGAAGGAAATATAGTTTATAGAAGTCACATTGTATGTAGTGCTTCAGATCTATCAATTACACGTATATACTGTACTTTAGTGCTCTGACTAGTTTACGTATTTTGGAGTGTCTTAGCAAAGCTTGTTCGTGTCTTCCTTTCTAAGCTTACCGATCCGGGCATGGAATAACATAAAGTCTGCAGTGTGGACACCTCGTTTGGCTTAAGTCGGCAATTTATGTCTTTTTTGAGATAACGTGATACATGTAAAACGTAACTCAAATTCTAACTCGCACAATGACTAGATGACTTTTGGGTCTTCTTGCCTCCGTTAAAGCTTTAGCCCGCGGGAAAATTTTTTATCTTAGAGTCAAAAGTGACTTTATTTTATCGAGTGAATAATATATTGTCGTATGTCAGTTTGGAAGCGACATAAAATTCTGATCTGACATAAATTCCGATCTGACATACAATATATATATATAGTATAGATATATATATTTGGGGCTCAATTTTTTAATAAGCGATATAAAATTCCGATCTGACATATATCACTTCGGAATTGACATAAATTCCGATCTGACATACAATATATATACTCTTCACATTTTCACACAAATGCAAAAAAAATAACCCCCCCCCCCCAAATTTTCATATTAAAATAGCAAAAAAGGTCGGTTTAATTATAATTATAAACTGTACAATTATTAGAATCATATGATCAACTGTTACATCATAATTAAACAGTGAACAGCTAGATAGTACAGTTGAAACAGTATACATGTCATTAGAATCATACGATCAAAAATGTAACCGTTTATACTAATACCAAAACTTTTTATATAAATAAAAGGAAGCGATCATCCCTCATACTCAGTCATGAAATTATCAATACTAATACGTATAACAGCCAAATAGTTCAAGCGTAAATAATTCTGTACTATCAGAGATAAAAGACGTACAACGTCCGTTAAGAAAAAACCATGCCGCTGCTCTAAGGCAAGCTAGTCCGCGGGACTATTTTATCATTACGACATAATTGTTGTGGCAGATTGAATAAAACTCGGATTAAATAAAATTGGGGTCTTCTTGATACTCTTTTAATGTTTCCGAAACCCACATACGCTCTTATGAACAAAAGTTACAAATTTGCCTCCCCAAAGTTTCATATTAAAAATAAAGAAAATTCCCATTATCATATCGGTTTAATCTGCCACAATTGTTCGCTATTGTTATTAATAAATGAAGTGGTTTTAGATATTAATATGTCGGATTTCTCCATACGTAAATCGACTTATCGAGACTGAGTATACATTTTGCAAGAGAGCGTGTCTTATGTTTTTCGTATTTGGAACAGCAAAAGATAACCTGACTATTTGTGACCAATCAACATCAATTTCAATATTTACCCTTCATTCATTTGTCCGCACATCTCATCCCACTTTTTAATGTAAATTTTGTCTTTAAAAGTGTTAATTACTATGATCGCGTAGCTGACTTATTTACTACCTTCTCGAATCTATCTCTTATAGACATTTATCTGAAAAGCTTTAGATTCTACTTTATCCACAAATTCTACTTCACCTTCCGCTTGAAAAGATGTACGATAATGCTGATTCAACTGAAGTTGAGGACTTGTTTGCGTGCTTTGACAGCTTCAATGCTCTCACTGACTTCGAAACGCAGTTACAAGCCCTCTATGACAACGACGCTAACATGAATATTGACTCGCAGTACTCAAATTTAAGCGAATGGGGCGACGTGCCTATATTTAATACCAGCCCTTTTTCTGTCAGTTCACCCGAAGCAAACTCGATTTCAACAGTCGGCTCTCCAAATTCGTATTGTGAAGATAATATATCGCTGCCTAATCTATCCCCGTCGTTAACAACGCTGAATGATACTTTTCCAGAGTTCCAATATTCTACGCTGGAAGAACCATATGATCAGCAGTCGCACGAATTGGGAGGACCAGTAGTGGAGAATGTAAAGAAACGTCAGAATGTGGAGGATGATTCTTTCCCGGCTGATGATAATGATGACGACGAAAATACTAAAAAGAAGCGTAAAGCCACGATGAATACGAAGTATAGGAAATCGAATATTTCACCTAAAATGGCGAAGAAGCAATATTATAAGAGTGAATGTAATGAGAATAACGCTACAATGTCATTTGTGGATGGCGTGCAAGTTCCTCTTTGCGTCGATGGGACCGCACTGCCTAATGTACAGAGTATTGTTGTACCGAACTCCCCGGTCTCTGGAATCCCTCCCAATTACAATGCAAATGCTTTGCTTGGGCTTGGACAAGGGATATGGTCAAGCGATATCTCCCCAGGAGTCTCTCCACAGCCGACTGGCTTCGTTCCTATTTTCAACAATGATGTGTCCAGTGGTGTCCCTGGTAAGTTTGTAACTCTAGCTGATTCTGGATAACGTATATTTTAAGTGTTAAACTTTATTTATCGTTAACTTTTTAAGATATGCCGTCTCAGTTCAATGTATCGCTGCTTGGCGGTAAAGTACCAATACAAAGAATAAAGTCATCTACATCGCAACCCCTCACGAATACAACAGCGCAACCGACTAAACAACAGAAGAAGATTGCTCACAATGCTATAGAACGTCGCTACAGAAATAATATCAATGACCGGATTAACGAGCTAAAGAATGTAGTTCCGGCCCTCAATCATCATAAACATAAGGATACTAAAGAAATTGATGATGAGGAGGAGGCAGAGGAAATAGATGGGATTCCGGCCGCTACTAAATTAAACAAGGCTACTATATTGAGAAAGGCTACTGAGTACATTATACATTTGAGGAAGATCAACCAGAGATTCAAAGAGGAAAACGAGAATTTGAAGAGGATTCTGGAAGCCTTTCCCGGCGCTATCGACCTCTACCAAGAGTATATCGATAATCGCAATGATCCTTCGACACCTGAAGATATATCTCCACCTGCTTCCGATCCACCAACACCATCAACTTCATCAAGCGCCGGCGCAGGGACCCGCATGCTTATGGCCATCTTCATGTGCATGACATTTTTTTCACCACCGTCCGACTACGGTCAACCTGCTCATGGTGATCATGCGTCTATGGTGCATCATCATCACGAGGCACGTGTCTCAAGTGCACATCCGAATGGCATGGCCAACATTGCCAAAGCTAATTCAGCCGGTTTCTTTTCCGGTGATGGTATAATAACCATCGATATATGGTGGGTTTTTATGCAACCTGTGTAACATTATTCTTTTCACAACTAACAATAACGTGTGCTATCTATAGGTATTTAATCCGCTCCATTACATTTATTATGTTGATGATATATATCCTACGGCCGTCATTCCTTAACAAGTCTCGTCGAGTGCAAAAACCCAAACAACATATAGCTTCCGTCTTGGCTGCCAAAAACAAAGACGTCAGAACACAATATGTTTCTGTTACCGAACTCACATCTTACGCCCCGAGCAATTCGATGGAAATACTTTTCGGAATTACGGTGGAATCATTCAAGTTCTTTATAAGACGCGTTTTAGGATGGGATATTACTGCTAGCCAAGATAACGAAGAGAAATTGTGGGAAGTCGCTTTGTGGAACAGACAGGGGGAACTAGAATTGAGTGGAGGTAAATTTGTCACTTTTACAATACTATTACGTTGTTTTTGTTTTTTTCAAAAAATAAGGCTTTTTATTGATCATGCTGTCTTGCGCCATTTTATTTTTGTATATTCCATAGGCAATAACAAAGCTTCACGTTTTTCTGTTCTTTACGTTTGCCTACGTACTATCAATCTCTTCGAGACTACCTGCATAACCAGAAAGTGTATCATCGCAAGCCCATCCCGTATATATATCAACGCCGCATTACAGAGTTATATCGGACTCCAGTCCATGCCGTTCATTGCTCAAAAGGTAGCTGCGCATTTTTGGGGACGTGCAATCAAAGAAAAGGGACGTGATGGTCATGAAGATAAATGGACGGAAATTGCCTTGACAATCAAGCAAGGAAGCAATCTTTGGAAAGATGCTATGAATCGCGTTTTCGAACAGGCTTTTAACCCGCAAAACGTAACCGATGATATTACCAGAAGTGCGACCATTCCCCTTACCCGATTTTCAGACGCTCAATCTCTGGCTCACCTCAAAGATGCATATCTCAAATTCATTTCGCAAAACTATGGAAAGAAGAAACTTCGAAAGAGCAAGGACCTTTTCGCTGACATACTTGCCGTTACAACGCACACCTCTTCGACGCACTGGTATGCGTTTGTTGGTAGTACAATCGTCACCTTCTTGAACGGAGGTAAGCAGATTGACGATAAATTGATCAATCAATTAAGAGAGAAATTTCCCAAGAGCGAAAATACGAATACGCAAGTATTAGCAAGAGGGTTACTTTCCCATGCGTTTTTGATGTACGGCAAGATTGAGGCATCAGTTAGATGTGCAGAGAAGGCGGCAATCGCGTTGAAACGTCGAAATGAAGACAGTTCAGATGACATGGTTGTAGAAGAAGAGACTGAAATTAGTGCATTGGAAAAAGAAGTTCATGACTTGGCGGAATTCTGCGTTGGTTGGATCGTATTGGAAGCAAGAGTGTTGGGATGGAAAGCAATCGAGAATCTGTCCAAGGAAAACAAGTCGCTAAAGTTACCAGACGTGCTCGATCCTGAAATTTCCTTAAAGCCAGCGGTTTACGAATGGTTATTATATATGCGCAGATTAGTGAGCACAAATACGTTTCGTAATGTTGCGGAGGAGATCCGCGAAGAATCTCTAAAAAAGCTGCATGCTTTGACTAGATTAATAGGTGAAGTCGATGAGGAAGATGATTCGGGTTATGAAGGCGAACCAGAGAAGGAGAATGAGAACAATAAAAATCTTGATAACAAGGCAGTGCGTGCATGGTATATTTTGAAAAGCACGTAATTAGATCATTAACATTATTCATTACATCTTACTCTATGTATATTAAATAATATAGTAGTTTATACAAGTTAATGCGGTAATAAAAAAAAAACAACGAAAAATTACATTGACGTCATTATTATGGTGGCAAAGCACATTACTACTCAGTGCATGTCTTTTGAATAATCAAAAGTTCGCCTTTGGGGCCCTATCTTTCTGTATAACCCGTATAACGCCTTCTTGGGCTGTTGATGCTACCAAACGGCCATCTCTCGTGAATATACGACCGAATGCAAGACCTCGTCCATTAGCACTTTGCGGAGATTCCATTTCACATAGTAACCTATTACGTAATATACCAATACATTAATGACATTTCAATAATGCACAGATGAACAACAAGTTATCGGAACCGCAAATACCATTCGTCTGCTCTGATATACGGATCATGAAACCAAATTGAATGACAAAGGGACGCCATCATCATTTGGTGAAATGGCGTCATCCCGTGAGGACGAATGGCGGTTAAAAGGAAACTATCGTCGCTAGCATAGGCGAGTGCACACTACAAGAAGGAAAAAAATTGAAATGTTAAGGACGCGAGCCCCAACACATTCTGCTAATGCAAACATACCTTATGTAATGCAAGGTTATCTCCGAGATTGCCTTTGGCTTTCAACCACACACACTGTAATGCAATATTAGTGAGTATTTTTAATTGATATTATTGTAATTGCGTTTTTGCATCGTTTACTTGCCTGTTTCGTCGTCTTTTTTGGATGAGAGAGGTCCTCAAATGTTATTCTATCAGTGTTGCGAGAGTCAACCGGGTATTCCATCTAAGATGAAAAGTTTGCGTTCTGTATAAGCAGGCCGATCGATGGCATATGAAAATGTCAGGACAGGAATATGTACCTCCGCAACGAGTTTCTTTTCCATATAAGACTTATACCACCTGGGAACCTCGGGATGATTTGACCAAGACTTTAATCTCTCTATGAGTCTGTTATCAGGTTGTCAATTATGTGTATGATTTTTAGTGGATCGAACGTTAGAACATCAACCGCTTACGTTGGCAGTGTCTCCGGATCGGGACATTCGGGCATAGGATATTGATGTCTCAACGGTTGACCATTTTCAAGGAGAGCAAAACTACAATTAAGAGAGAGGATGCATCGACCCTTTTGTTTAGCCATCACCATCCGTGTGCAATAAGACTTGCCTGTCGAGAGGACAACGAATACAGTACATGTCATCAGATCATGAGTGAATCAATGATGAGAACGGGGCACTTGGACGTCCATCTTACCATTTCTCACTCGTTGTACCTCGTACAGTATCGGGAGAGAATTATCACCCGGGAGAATGAAATATGAGTGTAGTGACTAGTCGATTAACAAGTCACATAGGTTAATTGAGTCGCTTATGTTAGCCCGCCTACAAATCCAGTCACACCTACATGAATGAAATACTGTTCTGGTACAGTCGCAGTAGCAGCGTTAAGAGCTTGGCCTATAACCTGTCCACCAAAGACTCCACGGGCCCATACGGGCTTGTACAGCTTCTTACTACGATAGTAGTTGAGATCGAGCTCTTCCAAAGCCAGTGCTTCTTCCATTGAGAAATTTAAGTCATATTAAAGATCTGGGGTCTATTATATATTATTCTGGTGCGGTAAATACAAACTGCCGTTCCCGAATGTGTAAATTAAATTTAGTCACTAGTATTAGTATGACGATCATTGCAATTCTGGTTTTGTGTTATAGGGGTTTTTTTTTTACATGATAATCGATCAGCACGTCTAAATTCTGCTGTAGTTGATGAAGTGTGTCACTCACTTGGAAGAGTATACACGACAATGCGCAAAAGTAGTGAGTGAGAATTACTGATTAGCTGATAATTTGATAACTAAACGTTTGTAACATGTTATTCATTTTTGGTCGGCCGTTCCTTGGTGTAGTGATTGTCTAACATTAAGCATTATGCACGTTCTCTGTCACTAACATGAGTTTCGCCTTTGCACAATGATTATTCATACTCAGAGGTCAATGTCGATGAGTGCATCACTCCAAAATATAAAACGTAATTCAGTAAACACACAGCATCATCAATTGTCGGATGTTCGCCGCCAGAGAACCGAGGAAAACTCGCTCTGCTTGAAGCAATTAATAAGATCAAACACACATTGCCTCTAGAAGATTATATAATTATGTTCTTTTAAAAGTCTCTGTTTACTATACTCATGCTTTTACGTAAACAAATCCTCTCTAAGAAAATAATCGATGACGTTTACAATACGATGAGTGCAATTGACTATTTAACGTAATTATGACTAAATCTTATTACATTTCGACAAGCGTTTGTTTTTATTTGTCGTTAGGCTGCGGGTAAAGGGCTTTATAAATCCGCTGTATATACGTGGTAGTCTACCGGACATTGCTAATTAAATTTCCCATTTCAGTTTGTTACACAATATAAAGTATAATAACCGGCAACTAACAATTGTTGCCTTGTGTATTGTCGGGTAAAAAAAAGCACGCTCTATTGTCATTTGATTCTTCAATCAAATTTGGAAAGATGTACAAAGAGGGGCCGTTCCGTTAGTTCTCAATAGCCTTCTAAATAGAGCAATATGTAAGTATCTATGATGCTATCTATCGACAAAAAGTTTGTATAAGACAGATGAGAGCAATTACGGCTTCCTATTAACATTATTATTGTAAAAATAAAGATAATTTACCTTCTTACTTAATGCTTTATTCATATCAGTACCTCCTATTTCTATTGCATTTATTAAAATAACTAATACCATAGCAATTGCTCGACGCGAGTTAATATTAATTATATACCGCAATCGCAAAAATTGGATTCATGTAAAATATAAACAATTTCTAATTTAGTCGATGCACGTCAAAAAAAAATCCGGTTTATCCTGTCTTGCCGGATTCGTACTAATCGATTTTTGTACGGATCAGTCGCTAACAATCTCGTCCTTACCAATACTACTGAGATGTGCTGGACAGCAGGCGTCTTTCTTTTTTCTAAGTAGAAGATCTTGATAGACGTTGTTATATTAGTTTTAGGATTTACTTATGTAATTTAACGAACAAAGGTTACACGTTTCGGAGAACTTAAACAAACGAGTTTGGCTCAACTAAGTAACCATTAGTATGCCAGTAGTCATGTGTTGTGCCCACACAGCTTTGGCGCCTACATACAGTACATGTTATGGGTAAACCAAATTCGGACATCTCTCGGAGAGTTTCATCATTGATATTAAGGTACTAAGTTCGGGTGTATAATTTCCTAATCAAATCCATAACAACATGCTACAATTAAATATTAATATTGCAAGTTCGGAAACACTCTCTAATTTATATAAAGTATCTTTAAACATTTGCAATCAGTTTGGAGTTTAACTAAAAAAATTTTGATGTATTAGTATGTATTACTTTCCCCTGAATAGAGGAAGCAAGTTTTAAGTTTCTGACTCACTGTTACCCACTCTATAAAAAAGTTATAATACAGAAGCAGAACGCATATGATTGATAAATATAGTGCTTTGTTAATAGCAAGGTATGTGTAAATATGCGTTTTTTGTACTGTTTTTGGCGCGCGGCGGCGGTGTAGCCGCACATCCCACCTAGCGATTATGTATATTATATGTGGGGCATACTGCAACAAAACCAGACAAAGTGAACATTGTATTATGTGATATAAATGAGAGGCTGATATGATATGGCTGTAAAATTGAGTGTGACTGATGACATTTTGAAAAGTAATAATAGTGCTCGTTCATAATTGATGGACTGGTTAATTTTAATGTTACCTTTATCGTACCAGAATGTGATAAATAAACCATAACAGGATTGACCTCTATATATAAAAATATTAATGTAAAACTAATTTTACTATAAAACCCAAGAATTACAGCATCATTAGAAGAATTTTAAAGAAAGCTCGGGTGAAAAATTGCTTCATACGTTTTTAAAATCAATGATACCCAAACACCCCAGGAATATCCAGATCAAGAAAAAATCACTTATGAAATTTATCAACAAGAACGGAAAATTATAACTAATAAACAAGCATTAAAACCAACGCATGAAGAAATGTAAGGGAAATAAATTTAACGTAAAAGCTTCTCGCCAGAACGACCCGTCAACGGAAGTTTGTTCTTTATTTATAAAGACTGCTCGAGTGCATTCGTTGAGTGTCCATTATATTTCGCTACTTTGACACAATTGCAATCAAAAAGTCAAACATATAAAAATAATTCAATTTTTTGTAAGCATAAATTTTATTATTTCGATTATTGAATGCGCGCTATTGAAAATATAAATAATGCTATAAGCACCAGAGTGATTGCATGGGAGGAAAACTCAAAGCCATTTATGAGTATAACCTATTTTTGGTCACTCTGGTACAATCTATACTACACTTCATTACTGTTAACGTCTTTATTTTATTTTTATCAATCCATTCTTCGATAGCTTCTAGTGTCCTTTTCCTCGTATTTGTTTGTTGTTTGTAAGAATCCTTCAACGTGGAGGCATCGATGCCTTTTTCTTCGCAAATTTCGGTGGCCATTTGACAAAATAAAATTTGTATCCAATTTAATTATAATCGTTTTAAAGCGTTCCACAACTTTTCGGTTTCTGGCGAGTAAATTTTGTTCGCCACTACAGTTTTGTAATTTCATTGTTTGAATTAAAGTTCCCGTATTATTAGGCTGACCATTACAGATAATGTCGTTTAGCAATCGGCCGAGAACGAAGCCAATTAATACTCCGAGAAAGAATTCACTCGTGAATGTAAACATTCTTTGCAAAGAGTTTATTGATGAAAATTGTTAGATCTGGTTTTTATCTTTTTAAACGATATTTGTTGAGTTGTGGTTGATTTTGCGACTAGAGCTGATAATAAATCGTTTATTCATGATGCTTAAATAGACAAATTGCGCGTTGCTGCGCATCGATTATCACTGATCACATTCTACAGGGGAAGAATAATTACATTGTAAGATCTAGAAATACACGTCATTGATTAAGCCACCGATCAGCGTTGATATAGAATTCAGTGTAATAATATGCCTATAATAATAACGGTTTTGTATTACTTAATATTAGTGAGTCCGCAACAGCGGGCCACCAAATCAGCCAATCAAAATCATTTCTCCCATTAAAATGTTTTCTCGTCCGATCTTATGTCTACAAAAAGATCTTGCTATTGAGTATAAAATATCTGAACAAGCCATCTCAGATATTTGCTACAACTACAAGAAATGAGCACCGTGCACAACTGAAAAAGAGCGTCAGCCAGTATATCCAATGGTTGAAGAAGTTACGGAAAGGTAGTTGCAATATGCACTTTCAACAAGTAACATCATTTTTTCTATTTAAAACTCTAATAAAATCCTTATTAATATTAATAGTGTCATTACTATTACCACTTTCTCATTTGTAAATATGCAACATATCGAAAACACCCACGTCGAAAGCACCCCCATCGAAATAATCACTTTTATAAAAACCGCAATGAGGTTCAGGCGAGATCATTCTTCAAATACTGGTTGGAGCATACATACCTTCCCAGTCAAACGATCATTCGCGGATACGAATGTGACCATATGTGAATGAATCAGAGGCTGCTGCGAAATACTATGAGGAGAACAAGATGCAACACGCGGGGGGAAGGCTGAGAGAAATGTGAGTATTGTTATTTGAATTATTGTCGTTAATATTAATGATGATACGAAATGTGTAGTCAATTGTGGTTATAACGTGGGCCCACGTCAGTACGCTAGTCCGGGCGTCGTCGTGTGCGAGGTCTTGGTCTATGGAACAAAGAATGCCGGCTCCATAGAATCAATGGACTAGTTGTACGAGTTTTGTCGTCGTGCGCTTGGCATCCTGAGGTGCTTTTGCGTTAAGCTGCTACGGGGTACCCCGTTGGTAGTCAGCGGCACGGAACTTATACTAATAATAATAATTATAATAATAATAATAATAATACGAATGACACTGATTTGATTGGTCGCTGTCTGATATCGATGACACATTTTGAAATGCTTTTATTATTGTATATCGCTTAATAACCGAAGTTAATAATTTGCTATTTTAGAGAAACATATTTGCGGAAATTTACAATAAAGTAAAGCAAGAGGTGAGGCTTCAATGAAGTATAAGTGTTTATTATTATTGTTATCAATACAGCTGAACATAATACCCTATTTATTTTAGCGCGCAGCCAGCGAAAAGAATGAGCATACGCGTTTAATAAAGGAAAATATCGAGAAAATTATTAAGCGATGTGTAATTGGTTTTATTAGTAATAATTTTATATTATTATTATATTATTATTAATATTAATATAAATCACACTAATTCTAATACTGATTATAATAAATATTCTAGATTGAAATGGAAAAGTCGTCATCTTGCAGTGAGAGAGATAAGGCGGCTTATATAGCGGTGAGGACGATTTTAAAAGAAATAGTAGAAAAGGTGAACAAGAACAAGTACACAATCCACCCAACCGATCCGCTAGCTTCTGGGGTGATAGACTTGACGAATTTTGGCGAGTCAGCTGCCTGCGGACGTAGTAGAGTTGTTAAAAGAAAACGACTCTTTGATATCGGGGGAAGTCGATCTGCCATATAAGGCCCGAAAATTGTTCACCAAATTTGTAAAAACATATGAGCAATTGATGGGGACTGAATTTCGTCTAAGAGATATGGATGGAATCAGCTTCCCAAGTGGCATTCGAGATCCTCAGCACAGGGCAGATGCGGGGACGGTACGTGGGGTGGTCGAAAAGTCTTGCGCGTGTGGCTGTGTTTTTCAGCGAAAATCTACCTAACCCCAAAATGGAAAATGCGCGAAAATGAGTCAAGAGAACCAGCGATACTATATTTTTGTTTCTTAGAAGAATGGCCGCGATGCAACTAGAATCCATGAAGAATTGGTTAATGCAGAGGGGGAACATGCACTGTCTCTCAGTA